TCTGTAGGCAGAAGCGTGATCTAGCCTTACAGAGTGAAAAGTAGCTTGGAAATCCCAAATATCCTCGTTCTATCATCTGATCATTCACTGGGACCCCCCATTGGTTTGAAAAAGCTCAGAGTTTAATAGAAACAAGAAACCCTTTCCAGTTCTTATAGCCTACACTATTTCTTCTTCCTCCAAACCAACAATAAAACTTCTCTAGGTTTTATAGCTCATAGGTCTGGTTAAATCTCATGTGTAGAGGAGAATCGTTTGTTTGTAGCACACGTGGAAATAGGATTTGTAGATAGCATAAGCCAAGTGTAAATCCATGGTGTGTGGGTGCCAAAGAAGCTCACATATGTCTGCTTTCATTAAGAAAAACGCAGCTTCTAGAATGAGCAAAGTAGTTTGACATGACAGTTGTTTTCTTTATGGGTTGTTCACTTTGTCAATACTTACCTAGATCTCACTTAAGTTTTTCACTTCAATTTCTACTTTGATACAAAATATTATAATCCTGATTTCTTTACAAATTATGTACTTTTGCATGTGATGTATTTGCTAGTTTATCCTTCCTCATTCAAATACTCTCCTTTCTTTGTTTTAGGTATATATTTTGGGATAGCGTACTAATTAGTTTATTAAACATGGGAGTTTAAGCCACTTATATTTATTATCATAGTTACTATATTAGTTTTGCTTCAGTCAAGTTCCTTATGCTTTCTGGTTTTTAAAAATATTTTCTTGCTCTTTACTTAGAATTGTTGTTTGTAATGTTATTTGTTATTTTATTTTTTATTTTTCCAGTAATGATATGGAAGACACAGGTATTATTTTAAAATTCTATTTGAATTGCCTTGAAGATTTAAAAAATATATGAAACTATATTTTCCTAATTATTGATTTTTAAAAATGCTACCTATTGACTGTCTCGTAAGGTTAAGAAAATAAACATACTTTTATTTCTCTTTCATTATTTTACTGTTTCCTGTTTTATTTATTTAATTTTGCATTTTAGACTTAGGTGTTACTTTTCCCCCAACATCTTGCTTTATGAAAGTTTTCAAACGTATGGAAAAGTTAAAAGAGTTTTACAGCAAACACCCATATCCCTACCTTCTGGTTTCCACCATTACCATTTTACTATATTTGCTTTATCATGTATCTATCAACCCATCTTTTTTAAAAAATGCATTTCAAAGTCAATTGAAGATATCGACATACTTCTCCCTAAATACTTGAACACAAATATCATTAGCCAGTGTTTAATAACTGCTTGCAATTTTTTTCTCTGAGGTAAAATTTACAAACAATAAAATACACAATTTTTAAGTTTATATTGATTGAATTTGACAAATGTATGCCAGGTACTATTTTTAACATTATTTTCTCTTTTAAGAATTATTGTTTCGTATTTAAAAGCTCTTTATAATCATATTTTAAAGATTATTTAGATGATGTTTAATTGATTTTAGTAATCACTGTAAGTTCCATTTCATCAGAACTTCCCCATTTTTTGTTCTGATTCATTTCTCAGTTGGCTAGACTATGACCTAAGTACTTTTTAAAAGAAGAATATGAGTGATGTACCTTAAGAAATCTCTGAGTAGCTGAAAATTTGTAAGAAAATTTAAAGAAATATAAGAATCTCTTTCAGACATGAATTTCTTTCAACTTGAATGAGTTCAGAATCCTTGAACTCAGGCAACCTTCTGCACTCAAAACTATAGATATTTCTCTATTGTTATCTGATGTTTAATGTTATACAGGACTCTCTGAGAATATCCTGATATTTCTACCTTTGTAGGTTACCTGACTTTTTTCTGCCTAGTAATTGTAAAACTCTTTTATTGTTCCTGAACTTGTATGCACCTAGCAGTTAATTTTGAAGTAATTTTCCATGTACTCGATGAGATCTTTTGATCTGGAACTGTACATTTTTATTCATTTATGGCAGAGGTTGGTAGGGGTTCCCCCAACTCCATATTTTTCTTCTTAGAAGTATAAGTTTTGATATTCATATAGGCATATAACTACTTGAAATAAAACTGTATTTCCCAGCCTCCCTTAAAGTTTAGTTTTGCATCAGTCACAGGCAGCTGAGCCCGATCCTTATGGACACATCAGCTCAGGAAAGTTTTCTTCTTTTATATTTTTTACTTTTTTTCAGGTTTACTTATTCTGCTCTTTTCTTTCCCCCCAGGAAAATCTCTTATCTGTGTTTTCTGTACTGTCTGTTCTTCCAACTCAATAATTTTTCTCTCATTATTTTAATCACTTTGTCTTTTTTCTTCTCATTCCATGACAGTTTTTCAAGTTTCTCTTCTGTGTCACTGATTTTAACCTTTTGCAGTGATCTTCCTACTCTTTCTCACTTTGAATGAAAATTTTACTTTGCTATTTCTGTTTTAGTTTCCTTAACTCTCGTTTTTACCTCCTCTGAGGCAGTGCCCTTTTCACCACTGCCTTTGTGTCTCTCCTTTTATCATTTGATTTCCCTTTTTCTTGAACTTTCATGGGAACTCCAATCTGAGCTCCCTAGTTGTTTTCTAAATCTTATAACTACCATTAACTCTTTTAAAGGATACTGCTTTTTTCTGTATTTTGAGCCCTAGGTTTTCTGTCTTTTATCATTCTTATGTTGGTTTTTGTTTACTTACAAGAAATAAGAAAATGTGTATCTCTAGTTCTGGTGTTTGTTCATAAATAATGTGAGTGGATTCTCCTGATGGAAATGAATTTATATGACTACTTAAGAGGCCCAGCTTACGGAGGGGAGCGGAGAAGAAGCTGGAATTGAGGGGAGTAAATGAGGAGCAGAGACAGACAGAGAAAGCTGGACTCACGGGCAGGTTTGGGAAGAAGATTAGGGTTCCTTGTCTGCACTCTTCTTCTCAACCAATAGAGAAGCTGGTGTGTCTTGCGCTGACTTTTTGAATTTCATTTTCTCCCTGCCTGACTTCTATACTAGGTTGAAGCTGTGTTTGCTTCCATCTTCCTCCCTGAGTTGTTGTCTACAATGTGAAGTCTGCTTTATGATTTTTGCTTCATGAAGTCATCGTGCTTCTCCTGGGTCCTCCTACTGCTACTGCTTTCAAATACTCTTGATCTGGAGCCAATGCAAGCCATGGCCTTCTTCTCTAACTACACGCGACACTCCATCAGGCCCTTCAGACTTTATGATGGAAGCGAGCAATCACGTGTGGTGGGGATCTCACAGTATCCCCCTCCCCACTCCTGTAACCACTGCTGTTTCTCAGGAAGAAGAGCTGCCAGACTTTCCTCAGTGTCCCCCTTCCCTCTGGTGTTATCTGAACCATATCGAACAGGGTGGTACCTAACTTTCCACCATGTGCCAGGCACACTTGCCCAGGTTCCAGTGTCATTTTAGTACTTGTGCTCCCTTCTCAACAAAACTTTTTCTTTTTTGTTCTTTTCTGGGTCATTTCAGAGGGGATCTTGGTATAGAGGAAGTTAAGCACTCAACTGCAAAGCCTTTTTACCCAGAAGGCTATGTAAGACATCCTGTAAGACTTCTCATATTGTGAGGGTATATATTGTATGCTGTAAATGCATTAACAACCACCCGGATCTTTGCAGCAGAGGTCTAGAGACACAAGAGCATAAGACTCTTGTCAGGAGTCAGGAGACCTAAGCTGGAGCCCTGACACAGTCACTTATAAACCACGTGATCTTGGGCATGTGATCTTCAGTTTACTCTTCTGTGAAATCAGTAGTATCTTGCATTGAATGGGATCAAATATGTGAGAGAATTTTTAAATTCTTAAAAGTTAAAAAAAATCCAAAAAACACAAAACCAGAGTTGGCAGTCATCCTTTTGGTTTCCTTCCCTTTTTGCCTCTCGTAGGCTGGGACCAAGGTATGGAAGGTATTTGATAAATCTTTGTTGGTTGGTTATTTGAAATGAAAGTCATAAAATACTGAAGAATAGCTAAGGAGACAAAAGGGAGTGACAGAGTCATTGAGTGTATTACTACTGCCTTCTTTGATATATATATTTCTAAGCTTTCTTTGAACCTATGGTATTATCTGCCTAGAAAGAGCCACATTTTATTAACTATTTTCATATTTTCTCTCTAATCCCTCCTTCTAACCCTTTCTAGGTATTCCCCTAATGCTCAAAATTTATTGTAAAAAGGTGTTCTTTTAAAGACCTTTTTAAAGAAAGGTAATTATCTATAGCTCAGTGTCACTATTAAAGTTGTCCCTTGAGAGATTTCGGAGGCTGCAAAATATATTTAATTTCCAAAGATTCTTGAAAGTCATCCAAGAAATTCAGGCAGGGAGGGAATGGTCAGGGTACAGGGTGTGTGAGGGGATCACACTGTGAGTTGGCTGGTGTCATTTATTTATGGGCAACCTAACAGGTGCATAAATGACTCCTACTGGGAGGTTTTCCACTCAGTTTCCCAAAATGGCTCCATTTCAACATCCAGTGGTGACGCTGTATTATCAGAATTGGATTAGCTAAGCACTGGGCAACATAACATCTACCAGAAAGATCTGAAGGAAAGGTTTGCTTCGACTTCAACAACAGCTTTAGTATGAAATAGGCTTTGTCTATTAACAATGGTAGGATTCATCAGCTAATTGAAAAACCCATTTTTTTGAAGTACATGTCATGTTATGTGGTTCAAGCCTATGTATTTAATTTTAAGTACTTGCTAAATGTAAGACAGTATGCTGGAAACTGTGGAGTTTAGAGAGATGATTGAAACCTCGCCTTGGTTTTGGCAGTTGACACATTTGTTGGAGACAGGCCTGTGGGTCATCCCATCATAGGACAGACTGAGAAATCGGAAATGCACGCAAAATGCCATTGGGTTAGAAAGGAAAACCTGAAGGTGCTTCCTGGTAGAGGAAGAATTCAAAGTAGTTATTCTTGCAAAGACAATTTTTTGAATGCCAAATTGGTTTCCTGCATTATACTATGAATACTCAGACAGGGCCCATTTTAGTTGTTTAATTATTTATGGAAGAATAAAGTTCAACAGACAGAAAAGGCAAAAGACAGCATTTTAGCAAGCAGGAATTGAGCCGAGGCCTTCTGGCTAAATGGCATCCCCAAGGCACGAGGAGGGGTCAGGTGGGCTCTGACACGTGACGGTTCCAGGGACGAAGGCTGCGTTGTGGGCTACAGTGAAGGCAAGGATGGAAGACAGATCAGGGCAAAACGTAGAAGGGCTCTGAATGGCCAAGAAAGGAACAATAAGTCTTACTGCTAAATCACCATTTTGTGAATTGAATAAATACAAGTTTACCAGCATTGCTCCCTTTTAGGTAGAACAGCTGGAAGTGCACAAGATTGGAATCTGGCCAAACTTTGAATTTGAGCCGATGAATAAATAAGTTTGGACAACTCACTTAACCTTTCTGATACTCAGTCTTCTCATCTGTGAGAATGTGGTTTGTGAAGGTTAAGTTAGAAGAGACGGGTGAAGGCACCAAGGATGTTGCTCACCTTTAGTAGGTATTCAGTAAAGGTTAGGTTCTCCTGCTCCCTCCCACCCCTGCCCTGCCTGCCCCTTGCATGGGAAGACTGTGGTGAAGCAGACATTTCACTAACATCACTAAGTCCTCCAGCTTGATGGGGAAGTTTTTTCTCACACTTTATCTCAGTGGTTCTCAAATCTGAGCCTGTATCAGAATCTCTTGAGGGCTTGTTAAAACAAGGATCTCATGCCCCTAGCCCCAGGGTGTCTGATTCAGTAGGTCTGGGGTGGGGCTGAGAATTTTCATTTATTTATTTATTTATTTTTCTACTTTTATTTCATCATATTATGGGAGGTACAAATATTGTTAGGGTTACATATATTGCACCTGCCCCCCCCCAGAGCTTCGAGTGTGTCCAGCCCCTAGGTGGTGCACACCACACGCACTATGTAAGTATACACCCTTCCCCTCTTCCCCAGGTGCTGCTGACAGGGAACCCCATTTTGAGAGCCTCTACTTTATCTTATTCTGCCTTGGGGCAGACAGGGTGCTTCCCTGACAACCATGTCCTCCTCCCGGCTAACAGACTCCTGAGTTGCTCTGGTAGCACAGAAAGATTTTTCAATTTCAGGGTTAGGTTTTTTCCTACCTCAGTGCCAGAAGATGAATGATAATGGGTTTAAACAGTCATGTAATCTCAGTTCCCTTAGCCACTGATCGATGGTCGGTGCAAATTAGCTTGGTTTCCTAACTTACAGAAATGGGCTTCAGTTACACTCCTTAATTTTTGAAGGCCTTGAGGTCCTAATTAAACAGAAATTATGCAGCAATACTAGAAATTGTCCAGAAAATGCAAATGGACCCAGAGTCCTTTACAAAATAATCCCAGTCTCTGACTTCAATATATCTTCTTTGTCCACTCACACATTGATCATACTTGGGCCCTTCCAGCTCTGCTGTCCAGATCAGTGCACATTTATTGGAGAGACCAGTCCCCCAATTGCTCTAACACATACATGTATTACCCCATTGACTGTGACATTCAGCCACAGTCCTCTGAACCCTTAAGGAAGACTGAAATCCCATTCATTACTAACTCTTAGATCCAAGTTGGGTATTCATGTTGGAACCTAAGTTAGTTTTCATCATTAGTAATATTTTCTTTAGTATATGAAGAAGTATAATATTATTATTTATCTCAGTTAAATTACCCTGGTAGTTCACTCATTTGTTCATTCATTCATTTGCAAATTTGTATTGAACAGTTCATGAGCTAGAGTGATACCAATGCCATCTTCCTCTATTTATACAGTTATTTATTCATCGTTTATAAAGCACTTTGATAGCAGTAGAGACTGGAAACTGAGTTATAATGGAGAGCAAAACTAGTGCATATTAATAAAACATATTTATCTCATTATTCCTATAGGTATTTTTTGACACAGTTGCATGTACATGTACATACAGATTTGGTTACTTATTTCTTATTACAGTTATATGTTAACATAGTTGTGTGCACAAGGACATATATGTTATTGCTTACATCTTATTATTTTTTGCTGTTTGAAGATCTTGACTCCTCCCCCATCTTACCATTTAGTTAGTGTTACTATCAGTAGCAAGGCAAGAAATTAATTTGATGTTCTGTCTTCCCTTCTATTAATATTATGAAAGAAGGAATTGATAAGTTCCTATATGTTCTGAGCTTTACTTGTACCGTTGCTGTCAGCCACCTGGCTTCTGATTGTCATTGATTAATTATTTAAGTAATTAGTTCCACCACATTTACTGAGCAGAGTCACCTAAATTTGGCACTTTGGAGAAAGTAGAGACTAACAAAGCTCAGGACGCTTTCATAAAGGGCTCGTCATACGGTAAGAGAGATAAGACACACACAAATACCTGAAATATAACACAGCAGTCAGATGGTAAGCATAACAGGAAGAGAGTAGATAGGAGACCAAAGGAGAGGGAACTTCTGGTTGGAGAAGCAAAGAAAGCTTCATGCTTTATGTGGAAGGACCTGTGCACTGGACTGTTAAGGATCCAGCAGGATTTGGGTATTTCGACCAAATCAGAGATTATGGGATATAATGTAGAGAAAGCTCTCTTCACTCTGTGCCTGAGAGGCCAACAAATAGACCTGATGAGATTGGATAATGCTTATCAACTGGGCCAAATGCTGTTACCGCAGTGCAAAATGACTGTCCCAAATAGTGGGATAGCTCTGGAATAGCTCCTGCACCAAACAGCTCATCGGCAGAGGCTTGACAATCTCTTATGCAGAGGTCTGGGTGAGCTGGTTTGCACGTTCACTGGAAGGTGGTTGACCTGTACACTTTTCTCAGGAGTGGAAAAGCACTGAATTAGCTGGCGCTTGGAAAGTGTCCATAGATTCTTGGCTCAGGATGTATGCGGGATGCGTTTATATAACGCTGTTTCTTTTCCTATAGCACAAGGAAATGACAGTAGTAAGAGGAGGAGTGATTGCACAGCAAAATAGTGCTCAATGCTTCATACCAGCCTCTTTGAGTTATCCAAATGTACAATGTGCTCTCCTACCCCCAGTTACGAGCAGCTGAATTGAATTAAAAAAACAGTCCCTCCGTTGCTGCGACCTGGCCTGCCAAATTCTCGGCTGGTGTGAGTTTTTATAGCTCCGTTATAAACCCCTGAAAAGCGAGGCATATAATGGAAACATTGACATAACCTGAACGCCTAGGAGCGGCTTGTGCCACTCTAATTATCCTTATGTCTCATCGGCCCGTTTCTCTCCTCCGCTGGCAGAACCTGCGGCAGCGGCTCTGCCCAGCGGTCCCGGGAGCAGGAGGGTGGAAGCTGGGGTTTGCTGGGGAATAATGAGGTAGTGTCTGCTGGTGGGAAGCCCCCTGTTCCATACATACTCGCCCCTCCCTTTTGCCTTTCTTCCCTAGTTCTCCCCCTGCACCACCTCCCCTAGCCCCTCCCCCCAAAAAAAAGGCAGAACAGTTCAGTTGGTTGTAAAAATTAATGAGTTCAGATACAGACTTGCCTTATTCCGGTCCAGCTGCGTAACCAAGGCGATTCCAACCAGCATTCTAGACGCTGACATCAGCTCCACACCCCGGCACAATGCTGCTCTGTTTGATCTCAGAAACAGATCAGGCTCCTGGGCTTTATACATCCTGCTTCCTCCCTACGTAAACTCATTTTATTACCCACCAGGAGAGTGCATCTCAACTGCTCTCTCCCCAGGCAGCCAATGCCAGAGGATCAGGCCCTACAGCTGACTCTTCCTTTACCAGCTGGACACTTTGATCCAGTTTTCCTGGTCCTCTTTGAGGTTTCTCCCCCACCCCCAGGCGCTGACAACTGGTGGAGGATGATGGTGATAATGACTTCACCACTTTTCGTTTGCACAGCACTTTACCATTTTCAATCCACTTCCGTATTCTTGTCTGATCTGCGGCCCATGACCACCCTGGAAGGTGGTCCACCCATTTTATAGATGAAGTAAGTCTGCTAGAGCTGGCGAGTGGCAAGGCTGTCAGAAATGGATCACAGGGTCCTTGGTTCATTGTATGGACCCAGGGTGTTGATCTCTTGGTACAGGTACCAGGCAAGGCAGATTTTGTTTCTGTTGGTGACCTGAGCTGGAAGAAAGTTCTGTGGATCCACTTTCCATGAGGCTAATGGAGAGGGCAAGTGACACATCCACTGCAGGCCCTTCAAAGGGTATCATGGTGCTCTCAGTTTGCCGCAGCTCCCTGCCTCACCCCCACCCCTTTTGCAGAACGCTACTGTCTCTACAGCTGGTCCAAGAATATTACTTTCCAGGAGCACCAGACAGACCTTTTGCTTACAGTGGTTCCAGAAGCACCAACCCCAAAGATGAGTTATAAGCAGTCCCCTAAAGAGATTTCAGGAGAAACTGCTGAAACAGGGGCAAAGCTGTTTAGAAATAAAACACAGAAGTGTAAACCTTGTTATAGGGAGAACATCATTCTGGAGTCTGGAGAGGTCTTCCAGGGTAAATGTTATAGCAAGTATGTACTGAGCAGGGAAGAGGACAATAGGAGTCTGTGTTAGTTTCCTGGAGCTGGCATTAAAAAAGCGCCACAGACCGGGTGGCTTCAACAGCAGAAATTTATCTCTCACAGTCTGGAGGCTAGAAGTCTGAAATCAAGATGCCAGCCAGGCTATGCTCCCTCTGCGATTGAGTAGAGTTCTTCGTGCCTCTTCCTAGCTCCTGGTGGTGGCTGGCAGTCTTTGCATACCTTAGCTTGCAGCTGCCTCACTCCAGTTTGCCTCTGTGCTCACGTGGCATTCTCCCTGTGCATCCATGTCCTCTTCTTGTGAGGACACTACTCGGATTGGTTTAGGGTCCACCTAAGTTAGAATGAAGTCATACTAGACTGGTGGTGGTGGGTGCAAATCCAATGACTGATGTCCTTGTAAGAAGAGATCTTTAACTAGATTACATTAACCTAACTGTATTATCCTATTGCCAAATGAAGTTGCATGCATTGGTTCTGGGGGTTAGAGCTTCAACATGTCCTTTTGGGAAACACAATTCAACTCATGAGAGGGTCTTATGTTTCTTTCACGGTTGTCTAACTGCTTATGTCTACTCAGACACTAAGGAATTGGACGGGTTCCCAAATACCACTGTCATTGACAGTGGTATTAAGAATCCCTAATATTTGTTCAAATTTTTACTGGGAGCCGAGCACAGTGGCTCATGCCTGTTATTCCAGCTACTCAGGAGGCTGAGGCAGGATGATTGCTTGAGCCCAGGCTGCTTGAGAACAGCCTCGGTGATATAGCAAGATCCCATCTCAAAAACTTTTTTTTACTTAAGTGTTTTCACACATATATCTTTATTCAGTCTGCATAGCAACCCTGGAAATAGCAAGGGCTTATGATTCCCATTTTACAGATGAAGAAATGGAAATGAAGGAGAGGATGCCATTTGCTCATTGCCAGCACAGCAGGAATGGCTTTGCGACTTCCACTACAAGTTACTCTCCCCTGGCCATGGCCCTTCTCACTTGACCAGAAGAATATGAGTCTCAGAGAGGCTAATGAACCCGCCAAAGACACTAGCTGGAAAACCAAGCTGATTTTCAGGTTCCAAAGCCCATATTAATTCCATTTCATCTTATCTTTAGTGGACTTTGAATGTGACTCAGCCTTCGCCTTGATCCTCGGTAAAGGTGCTGAGATGCGAGACCAGGTGAAGCCATGTCTCTGAAGCCTCCAGGAGCTCAGCAGCTGAACCACAAGCCTGGAGGTCCTCACTCTGAGTCCCGTGCTCTGCCCTATACTTCATGCCTCGGCATTCTCAGACAGCCTGGTGCCCTTTAAAATGCTTAAACTTATATTTATCATCATCTTCCATCATTCCTGTTTTCCTCTGTCCCTTTCTTTTGCAGAGTATATAAACTCAGCACTTTGGCTTTTGAAATAGATTTGCTGTGTAGTCTTAGGGTTCTTTAGTGGCTTAAAATGTATTGTTTTGTGAGTCTGTCTGTGCCAGTCACAGTATTCACTGGGGGGAGCAGCAGGACACCAGCAATGCTGACATTTATTTGATTTTAGGGGGCTTTACGGCATTTCTGGGACTATACAGATTATAAATATTCTGTCTTCTTGTCCTCCCAGAAGCTACTAAAATATTCCAGAAATGACCATGTTTCAGCATCTACCTATTTCAGATTGCCCCTTGTATCCAGAAATGGCCTCCATCAACCACCTTCCATAGCCACTGTAATGGTTCCAAAAGGGGAACAACATGGTCCTTCAATTACTAAGGCCCTTTCTGCCCTGAGACTGGACACGCATTGCTCTTTTGTGCCAGGGCTCTGATTTATAAGATGCTATACGAGTTCTTTGTTTAATATGTGCTACATGGCTGGCTGCCCTCAATGCACAAGACATACTGATATTTTTTTTCATGATTAGATGGATCATTTTTTTTTTTTTTTGAGACAGAGTCTCGCTTGTTGACCAGGCTAGAGTGAGTGCCGTGGCGTCAGCCTAGCTCACAGCAACCTCAAACTCCTGGGCTCAAGCAATCCTTCTGCCTCAGCCGGGAGGGATAAGATGGCCACCAGATTTTAATGAGATAAGCATGTTTTCTTTTGTGCTTGGCAGTTTGGCCAAGGCTGTCAGAAATGGAGTCACAGGGTCCTTGGTTCATTGCATTGGACCCAGGGTGTTGATCTCTGGTACAGGTACAAAAAGATAATGAGCTGGAAGAAAGCTCTGTGGATCAAAAATGGAGAGGAAAAAGCAGGCCATTCAAAGGGTATCTGGTGCTATCAGTAAAGAATCCTGCCTCACCCCCACCCCTTTTGCAGAACATACTGCTCTAAGCTGGTCCAAGAATATTAACAAAATACAAACAAAAAGATGAGTTATAAGCAGTGCCAAAAAGAGATTTCAGGAGAAAAAAATAGGGCAAAGAAAAAGATAAACAAATATTATTTAGGAGAGACATCATTTGGATCTGGAGAGCTCTAGGGTTAATGTTTTGCAAGTATTTGAGAGAGGAAGAGGAGATAGGACTGTGTTATTCAGGACGGGCAAGGCCACGACCGAGTGGCTTCAAGCGATTTATCTCTCACATCCTGGAGGCTAGAAGTCTGAAACAAGATGCCAGCCAGGCCATGGCTCCCTCTGCGATGAGTAGAGTCCTTAGCCTCAAAAATGTGGTGCTGGCAGTCTTTGCATACCTTAGTTGCAGCTGCCTCACTCTATAATGCTCACGTGGCATTCTCCCTGTGCAAAAAATCTGTGAGGAACACAAAAAAAAAACTCTTGATTGGTCCTAAGTTTTAGAATGATCTATGACTGGTGTGTGGGTGCAAATCAATGACTGATGTCCTTATAGAAGAGATCTTTAACTAGATTAATACTTAACTATTAACCTATTGCATGAAGTTGCAAAATACTGGTTTGGGGGTTAGAGCTTCAACATGTCTTTTGAAACCACAATTCAACTCATGAGAGGTCTTATGTTCAAAATTGTCTAACTGCTTATGTCTACTCAGGCACTAAGGAATTGGACGCGGTTTCCCAAATACCACTGCCATTGACATGGTATTAAAAAATAAATCAATTACTGGGAGCCGAGCACAGTGGCTCATGCCTGTTATTCCAGCTACTAGGAGGCTGAGGCAGGATATGCTTGAGCCCAGGCCTGCTTGAGAACAGCCTCGGTGATATAGCAGATCCTCATCAATTTTTTTACTTTTTTCACCAATCTTTATTCAGTGCATAGCAACCTGGAATAGCAAGGCTTATGATTCCCATTTTACAGATGAAGAAGAGAATGCCATTTGTCATGCGCACGAGATGCATTTGCGAACTTCATACTAAGGTTACTCTCCCTGGCCATGGCAACTTGACCGAAGATATGAGGTCTCAGAAGCTAATGAACCCGCCAAGAGACACAGCTGGAAAA